AAGCCCAAGCAATAAGTTCGTCGCTTGTCCCGATCACGACCTCTCCGGGTCGAGTAAAGAAAAGACTAGGTAAACTGGGACTCCATTGACACATACTCACTGCAACAACGCATAGCGTTCTCCAATGAAAACAAAATAAAACAAATCGGGACTCATCCCAATGCACAGTACTCTCCAATGAAAACAAAAATTAAACAAACCGGGAATCACCCCAATGCACACATAAACAATGCAGCAATAAATGATGTTCGAATGTACAAATCAAAACTGACTTCGCCCAAGTTGGAAAATCTAAATTCGACCTCGTTCGAATGTACAAATCAAGGATAATTCTGCCCAAGTTGGCAAATCAGAAGTCAACCTCGCCCGAACATAGAGATCCAAAGTGACTTCATTCGAACTCACAACGAGATCCGATCTCGTTCAGATCAAGAAAACTAGATCCGCCCTCATTCGAATTCCCAATTAAAAGATCAGGAGCTCATCACAGAGAAATCTGAAGATCTTCTCCCCAAAAAAAAGGAGAGAATGAGAAAGAAAGTAAAAAGATACATAAACAAAGGCAAAACAACTATTTTATTCAAATGTACGTGCGCAACAACTGCGCATTACAAAAGGCCAAAAACGGGCCCTCCAGAAAAAGATGAAAATAAACAATAAAAGAACAAAAGAACTAAGCACAAAATCTGCAACAAAGTTTCACTCGGCGTCATTTCCACCGTTGTTCTCCCCAGCATCATCATCATCAGAAGAAAGTCCACCCTCAATCTCAATGCCCTCACCGGCCTCCCGTGTTACAGGGTCATAACCGCAAGTAATACGAGCCTCACGTGCCTACGCCTGAGCATCCTCAAAGGCGGCCTCAGGAATACTCCCCGCCTCCCACAAACCCTTGTATATATCTACTTGGGCCTCGGTGTGGACCCATATCTCATACAAGCGGAAGAGGATAATGGCTGAGGCAGATTCAGCCTGAGCCAACAGTTGTGCCTTCTCGGCCTCAAGTGTCGCAACCCGGTCTCCCAGGCTCGAAGCTTCCCGGTCAATTTCACCAATACGCTCCTCGAGTCGCGCCTCTCTCAGCGTGGCCGTCTCTCTCTTAGATTCCTGCTCAAACTTGAGGATGCGAATAGTGTCTTCTAGCACCGCTGGCCTCACCAAAACCGATACTCGAGCACCCTCGGCTCTCTCCAACTCGGCCACTTTCTTTTCTAGATCGGCCACTTTCTCCGTCCATTCTGCACTTAAAGCGTCGACTCTGGTAGCATTTTGCTCAAGCTCAGCTCGTAAAAACAGCACCTTCACCTGAAGGTCTTCACACTCCACGGCAACCCCTTTGTCCACTTCGAGCTCCTCGTCTTTGGCGTGAAGTAGCTCCTCAAGCTCACTGCATCTCCGGATAGACCGCATCAGTTCCTCATCTCTTTTCTCTAACTCCTCCCTATGACTGGGTACTAGCACCCGCTCTAAGCTGCTCGTGTATCTCACGGCACCAGTCGCGATACCGCTGATACTTCTCGGCCATTTTTAGAAAAATCTTGGCCCGCATCTCAACCCTACGAGCGCTCTCGATCTCTAGCATGTAAGTCTAAAAAAGAGAGAAGAGAGAAAGGGTCAGTAAAGATAAAGGTCACAAAACAAAGAAAACAAAAGGGAACTCAACCTTAGGGCCATCGCAGCCATACCGCGTGACAAACCAAAATCGCTAACCTCCTATAGAGATCCACTTTAAACGGTGGAGCATAGAAGATCAAACTGTGGCACCAAATCCACCGTGTCCTTAAATAGGTTGAAATTTGACGGAATTTCGAGTATGCGGGAAGGGCCTTCCGCTCTTACCTTAGTTCTGGTAAATCCATCCTCGAAAACCTTATGTCCTCAGGGTCAATGTCTAAGTCGGATTCATAATCATCAACCGCAATTCCCTTCCCCCTCTCATCTGCCAAAGAAGGGGCGTGATTCTGCCGAGATGATGATGGTCTACTCGGAACAACCACGGCAGCCTCCGAACTCCATCCCTCTGCCACAATAGTCTCCTGAACGCTCGCAACAAGTGTCGCCTCCGCATCCACACTGGCACCACCGCCGGTTTTGGGTACCGCTGAAACAAGGTCGACCCGCAAGGGCATTTCAGCTAAAAAAGCCCCTTCCAACACTACCCTTCGCCTCTCCGACGGGGCCTCTCCACTATCGACGTGAGAAGATTCGCTCGTTGAATGGACTACGGGGACCGGAGTCTCCGATTTAGGAGTAACTTCCAAGCGTACGACTTCGGCCGTAGGTGCGGTCTGATGAGTGGCCTGACTCTCTACGCCCTCGCCTGAAGTAACTCTTGGTGCGGGCCGCCGGAGGGATCCGGTTGATAGAATGCGAGAGCATGATCCCTCATCCTTCTCACTCCTCTCCGACCTGTCAATAAGAAGGGATTTGATCATATAACGGCAAGGTCAAAGAAACTACAAAGCTGAGAAGAAAGCAAGACCAACAAGCCAACTCACCGGTAAGAGGCTTGCGCCCAAACTTCTCATAGAAAGGCACCCATTCACGAATCCCCATCGTGTGGGGGAGAATTGTGCTCACCCACTCGCGGATATCGGCAACTAGAGGGGGAGGTAGTCTCTCGGCTACAAAAACAAAAGCAAATCCTCAGTGAAGTCTTTAAAGAGAGATGACCGACAACCATCTTAAGAAAAAATTACATAAAGTAAATAGGAAGGAAAATACATGAGCGAAATTCCACGTCTCAGGAAACCCTGCTGGGTTCGACACGATGTGCTCTATTCGAACATAGAAGAAGCTCTCCCAAAAATGGCGATTGGCCTTGTCGTCCATCTTCACCACCAAACTCTTGGTTCCTCGATAAAGCATATGAATCATCGTACCCCAAACAAATTGGGGGCGAAGAGGTGAAACATGTGCCCTAGAGAAATACCTCGGCCGGCCAGCTCCGCATACTTGATGAGCATGAGGAAAAGCTTGTACGCATACGGGGAGAGTTGAGCCGGGAAAGCCTCATAGAAGCGATAGAAATCCACTACCAAGGAAGGAAGGGGAAGCATGTACCCAATGACAAAGGGATACATGTAAAACGCACATTAGCTCGGGTGGTGTAAATGCACTATATCCTGATTTACAGGCACCACTTCAATACGATTAGGGATCTTCCATTTGGCTTTGAATGTCATGAGTGCCTCAGCATCCATCGTGGAAGGAACGAGCTCCTGCTCATCTCCGGCAGGGCTGTTAAAATCAGTCCTCGCTTTCCCTGGGTGGGGAACCACATCATCTACCATCAGAAAACCTTCATCCTCCACCACTTCCATTCCCTCTTCGACTAGGAATGCATCATTTTCAAACACCGGAGCACCAATAGCTTTATCAGAGTTGGAAGAAGCACTAGCCATTTTTTCGTTGATCAAAAGAAACGAGAGTGAAGGAAAAAAGGCAGCAGTTACATCAAATCCTCACAGAGGCAGAGATATGAGAAACTAAAGAAGAAGAAGAGTTGTAAAAGTCTCTTGAGCGATTGAGAAGCGTAACATTCAAATGGAAGATACTCCCCTATTTATAGGGATATGAATGCCCTAAGCGGAAAACCCAAACACCGCCATTTAGAAAACAAAAAGGGCATGGGAAACGACGCAATGCATAGAAAATGTGCTCCATAATGACGCATGAGAAGTATTTATGACATGCTGAACTGACGTGACGTTCCAGTCCTGAACTGACGTAACGGTCCGACGCAATTCTCGAAACGTCACACTGCTACCTCTCCATGAGGTGCTCGCCCCTCGGATAAATCATTCAGTTTCCTCCCAATTTTTGAATCAATAGAGTCCGTCCATCGAGCTCGCCAAGAGGCGACCCCAACGGCCGGAGAGACTAACTATATGGGTCAAAATCTGACCATGCGTAGATTGGTGCTAAAAGGAATGATAAGGGGCTGACTAAGCCGTGGTCGTATCTACAAGGCATAGTAACGGCGAGTATCTCGGCCACTGCCGAGATCGAGCTATCAGGAAGCTTGTATGACAAAATGTATGTCGTAATACTTAAGGGGAGCGATGTAAAGTATAATCAAGAGATAAAGTATTCTGGCTAAAGACCGTTGGACAAAGGGGAATATTTATAATATATATAGGAGGTAAGAAGACAATAAAAAGGGCTCCTCTCCCTCTAGAAGGAAAGACAGAAGAACAGGAGAAGATCTCTAATAACAATAAAGCGAAAGTCTAGATCTTGATTGCAAATCTTTGTAATTGTCATTGCTGAATCAATAAAGATTGATCTCATAACTATCAATGACGTTCTTTCTTTCCCTTCTTTGCTCTTACATTACGGAACAATAAGTCAAAGATGTAAGCTTATCGTTTATGTTTGATATCTTTTATTAATCTTAAAAAGAGTTATAAGCTCGATTATATTCGATTCTCGTGTTTAATGTGCTTTGATCTTGAGTTAATTATCTTTGGTTAAGATTTACCCTATATCTCATCATTAATTAGTTTAGCAAAAAGCTTGACACTTTTTGGTCGAACACATTACAAATTTAATTGTTACTCATTTTTTAGGGTAAACATTGTGTTACATAAATTATAAATTGTTTTCGTATTGAGGAAATTAAATTTACTTACTTAAAAATTTAAGTCGTTTGATTGAGAATCTAGAAAACCTTCACGAACTTTTGTACATTTGAAAACATTACAAGTTTGTACATGATATAGATTAGTGGTGGTCCTCATGATTTATGTGATCACTGATCAGCAATTATAATTGATTTGTTTGGCCGTTATCTTTTCATATTATGTTTAATTAATTTGAGTAAACTCTGGTCTAGTCTCACAAAGAAAAAAGAAAAAGAAGAAGAAAAAGAAAGAAAAGAAACTTATGTACGTCGTCGTATGGATCATCTTTCTCTTCCAAGGAGAGACCGTCACTTTTTCCTTCAACAATAAATACCTGTCCGAAGTGCAGCAGCAGTTCTTCATTAGAATCTTCACTCTCTCTCCCCCCCTGCCCCCCCCCCTCCCTCCAAGATTTTGCTTCAACAAAAATCAAATTTATCTTCTTTGCTTTGCCCATTTGCTATAACTCCATAAATAGCATAGCCATTCGGTATATTTTTAGCAATTTCCCCATTTCTCATTCTTCAAAGATTACATTTTTCTGTCAATTCCTCAATGATTTTTTATTTCTGGGGTTAATTGACCAAAAAGGGGTACCATTTTTTTAAATTTCCCCTTGGATTCTTGATTTTCCGATCATCGAGCAAATTTAATTTGCTCGGTGTTTTAATGCAAAGGGTAGAGAAAATTCAAAAAAAGGTTACTATTTTTCTGATCTTTGGTTATAGTTATGCCAGATATCTTAGATAACAGTTCATATCCGTCACTCTCCGACGTGGCCGCCGCCGGCGGTGAAATAACTCCGGCGGAGTTGGTGAATTCAAACCTTTTCGGCAAATATGAGCTGGGAAAACTCCTGGGTTGTGGCGCGTTTGGCAAAGTGTATCATGCCAGAGACATTAATACAGGACAAAACGTCGCGATAAAGGTTGTCAGCAAACAGAGGATCCTCAAAGGTGGTCTGACGGCTCACGTTAAGCGAGAAATCTCTATCATGCGCCGGCTGCATCACCCGCATATCGTGCGCCTGTACGAAATTCTCGCCACCAAGACAAAAATATATTTCGTCCTGGAATTCGCTAAAGGCGGTGAACTTTTCGCGAAATTGTCTAAAGGCCGGTTTAGCGAAGATCTAAGCCGTCGATATTTTCAGCAGTTAATCTCCGCCGTTGGATACTGCCACTCACGTGGGGTTTACCACCGTGATTTGAAACCTGAAAATTTATTACTGGACGAAAATTGGGACCTAAAAGTTACTGATTTCGGGTTAAGTGCTGTTACGGATCAGATCCGACCCGATGGGTTGCTCCATACACTTTGTGGGACCCCTGCTTACGTGGCCCCGGAGATTTTGGCGAAGAAAGGTTACGATGGTGCTAAGGTGGATGTATGGTCCTGTGGTATTATACTTTTTGTGTTTAATGCTGGGTATCTACCTTTCAACGATACAAATTTAATGACCATGTACCGAAAAATTTACAAAGGTGAATTTCGGTGCCCGAAATGGACCTCGCCCCAGTTGAAACGGTTGTTGACCCGGTTACTTGATACCAACCCGGTTACTCGGATCACTATTGAGGAGATCAAGGATGACCCGTGGTTTCAAAAAGGGTACCAAGAGGTGAAACCGGATCACGAATTCGAATTCAAGTCTTGGTCGGGTTCGGATTTTGACCCGGATTCATTTCCGGGTTCGAATTCTGACAGAAATTTCCTGAATGCATTTGATATTATTTCATTTTCTACCGGATTTAATTTTACCGATTTGCTTAAGGGCAATGGTGGATTTGTCGATAAGGAACAGTTTCTATCGGCAGGCTCCCCTGAGAAGATCATCGGAAAAATCGAGGCCGTGGCGAAGATAGAGGGAATGGATGCAGAGAGGAGTGGCGCGACCGTGACGGTGGAGGGGCAGAATGGTAATTTTAGGCTTCTAGCGGAGGTTAACCGGTTAACGGAGAAACTGGTAATAGTGGAAATTCAAAAAAAGGAGATTGAAGGGGAAATATGGAAGAAGAAATTTAAACCACAGATAAGTGAATTTGTTTATCAAGGTGAAGAACCCGTTTCTGGTAGCTGAAAAGGACGTTGGCCTAATAAGGACATTTGCCTAATAGTTATGAATTAATCTAATGATTTTAGGGAATATTTTGGAAGGAAGCAAATTTGAAAAAGTAAATTAATATGTTGTACTCTTATTATTATGTTAGTACTTAGCGCATATCATAATGTTATATTTTTTTTAAAAGTTATAACAAGCGTATTTATAAAGTAGAAAAAGAAATACCGGGCAATGTATTTTGTTTTTGCCGGTAATTTTGTTTCAAATATTTGTTCGAATCATCAGAAAATTTACTCTAGAGGATTAATGGAATTGAGATAGAAAATTACATTTTTTTAGCACTTCAGTCATTTTTTCTTTAGTTACAGCTTACAAGTACGGCTGAGTAATTTTAATGAGATTATAGAAGTAATCTAGTTATGTGCTTTCTGTGTTATTGAATTCAGGGATGATTTTAAAAATCAAATCATGTGAATTTTTATAATCGGCATATTGGAGACATTTCTGCAAAAGATTTTCATTTATTGCAGAAGTCAAATCATCCTTTCTTATCTGGTATAGTTCAACAACCATCTTGATTTAACTGAAATTTCAAAAGTGTAATTAATTTATTTAGTTAGCAGAATGATGAGTGAAAACACAATGACTATTTACAGAAAAAAAAACATCATAGCCATTTGACGCCGCAACTTTTTCTTCAATACAGTAACATTTTTCCACTTGCCTAATGCAGTAGTAAAATTGAACTCGTCCACCTTCATATTGGACGTAAAGTCATCATTATTAGTTCATTAAGTTATGCGGCACCTATTATTTTCTACGAAATAAAATATGTAATAAAAATACATCAACAATATAATTATTAAAAAATTAAATTAAATACTTTTTAAAAATAGGTAATTAACATATTACAATATCTTAATTTTTAATCATCGAATAAGAATAATGTAATTATTAATCACCACATAAATAATTCTAGCAACGTAAGCAGTATTTGAATTAAAGAATCCCTTATTAATTAAAATGACAGAACATGTATTTACACTGTACAGTCAAAATTTGTACATGGAGAAAGGGAAATAGATGTAGAAGCAAAGAAGAAGATGGGCTGACGTGGGTTTTTAAATTTTTGATCCATTTCAGTTTGTCATTATTAGATATCAATAATAGTGCTTGATTAAATAAATGGTTTATAATTGAGATCATGGACTAAATGTGTCCATTACTAGCATAGTTCCATAGAAAAAGGGAATATTCTTTTCAGGATAATGGCCAACCACTGATAAATGCATCTGTCCTAGTCTTATTCTGCAGTAGATTTTCTAAAACTGGGAAAAAAGATAATCAAACAAGTTGGTAAGTGAAGGTCATTATCAAATTGCGCAATGCCACTTATATAAGTGAAATTAAATAAGAAATAATAGTACGTATCAAGTTGGGACAAAACACATAGGAGTAAAATGTTTTCTTGTGTATAAGAAATTTATTTAATAATATGAAAATTCCAAAGTTTGCAGACCAATAATGCAGAGCAATGAGCTGTACATTTAATGTTTTCTGTGGGCAGTAACTGGTCTAGATGTTCTCACTTTTCTAAAATCTTATTTTTCAGGATTTTTACGACGGTGCAATTGCACGATCCGATTATGTAAGAGATATTTTAATTAGACATAGTATATCAATTGATTTTATCTTTAGTTGATGATATATAAAGACAATTAACAACTAATCATGTTTGGCGCATGAAATTGTCATGAAAGATCATCAAAATTGTAATTAGAATTTCATAGTAGAAAATTTTAACAACTCGCACGGATATTACTTCGAGATATCTTCAATAAACTAATAGGAATCCTTTTAAACCACCGCCATTGTATGGATATTGTTTGTTAAAAAAATTGTACAAGTATGCTTACACATCGTTGTACTTACTGAACTGCTAATATGTTGAATAATATGTTGCCAGATTAAAATAAGTAAGTGTCAGTTTGGAAAGCCACGAGGTAATTGAAATTGGTGTAATTACTAAAGTAGTAATTACACAGCCTAGTAATTACACAGTTGTATAATTACGACGACCGGTTTGTTTGTCATAGTGTAATTATAGTATAATTACAAATTTACTCTTTGGTTGCACAAGTGTAATTACACAATTAAATTAAATTTTAAATGAAATAATTATCAATAATTAAAAGTTAATATAATAAATATGCCTATAAATTTTAATAAGTATAAATAATATTATATTTGGTATTTAAAATGTATATTTTTTTATGAATATACATTAANTATATATATATATATATAGTAACTAAAAACATACGTTTCGTAAGAACATCATAGAATTCATATTTGATCAAATAAATTAATATTTATAAATATAATGTCATAACATTATTCAAATGTTTGACAACACTAATATATCAGTTCTAACTAAAAAATAAACAACATGTAATGTAAGTCAATACTGCTAAACAAGTAAATTGGAACCATGAATATAACACAATTTTAAGATCCAAAAAAATATATTTTAACATATGTCAAATTCCAACATAATAATAGTGAGTTCCACTACAACTTAAGATTAGAAAACATAATAAGATTATAATTGCATTCAACAACGAAATTCCACTTTAATTGCATCACATAACTCATTATTTTTAATATTAGGAGGTGTAGTTTCAAAAAATAGAATAATAAAATAAATAAAAAATAAAATATAAGCAATTACATGGAATCACAAGAAATAAAGGTAGAGAAATAAAAGATAAATAATGTACAAATATATATATATATATATATAATTTAAAAAATAGAAATAAAAGTTATAAAGAAAATAAATTAAAATAAAAATAAAAAGGAAAGAAACTAAAAGGCAACCTGGTAATTGCACAGTGTAATTACCACTAATTCTCACCTCCTCCTTGAGAATTGGAGAGTGTAATTACACCCCTCCAATTACACCCAATTCCATGCTGAGCAAGTAATTACTTAGCCAAACAAACATGCCAAACAGTGTAATTACACCCAATTACACCTAAATCCAATTCCTAGGTGGCTTTCCAAACCGGCTCTAAGTGTTAGAGTTTTCGGTGGATTTGATCAAAGGGAGTTCAAAAAAATGTTATAATGAAAATTTGTAATGGTGGAGTATTCTAATTTCTGTTGGTTAATGTTTATCCCTTATTTTTGTCTCATTATTTTTGAAATAACCTTTATGTTCATTCCAACTTGCGCGCACCTTAATTAATTCTATAAAATATTTGCAATCTCCCACCAACATGTTGTAGGCATCTAAATTTTATCGGATTTAAATCCATAAAATCATTTGGATCATACTTTAAATTCAAAATATATTACTCCAAATAAATATTAAGGGTCAATATAATTAGATTAATTACATTAGTCCAATATGTATGGATTAAATAATTAAGTCCGGATCCGTTGGGCTAGCCCACTTATTTGGGCTACAAAAATAATGAGCCAATTTCATTAGGCCCAAGATATTATCTTCCTAGAGACTCAGTTTGGTGCCACGTGTCAAATGACGTGGCACGCCAAGTCAAACTGAAGAGCCAATAGGATCATGCCACGTGTCAAAATGACAAGGCATGCAAAGTCAAATTCAAAGGCCAGCGAAATCGCGCCACATATGCAAGTGACATGTTCTGGCCAATCAAATGCTGTATTGTTATGCTTCAATCTGATTGGTCGGAAAGAGTTTGTTCTTATCATAACTCTTCTCCTCTCCCCCCCCCCCCCACGCACAACCATAAATAAGGATCTTCATAATCTAAAAAAGGGACCAGACGTTATAACAAGAAGCAAGAGAGAGCTCGTGGATCAAACAATCGAGTTCAAGTTCATGAAATCAAGTTCAAGCTCAAGAACGAAGAACAAATCAAGATTCAAGGAGTACGAGTTCAAATCAAAGTTCGTGCTAGTTGAATCCAAGATCATCATTCGTGGCAATAAATATAGATTCAAGATCAAGCTCAAGGGCCGTTGAATTTACTTACTATTGAAAAAATAGAATGAGAGGATTCATAGAGATTGTACACTCATATTATTTGAAATCAAATACTACGATTGTTGCCATATTTTTCGATCTCGATTATTTTCTGTTATCAATCTGTGTTCGAAACCAAAAAATATTATAAAGTAACAGAGAAACAGAAATGCATAGGAAGAACAATATTAAATCCGAACCCACTGAATTCACAGTGTGTCCTTAAGGAACTTAATCCCCTCCTAATACCCGAGGTTTAGGATTATTTCCTTCCAGGATAGAATAGATTATCCACACTAGTATAGCGGTACCTCAAACCCCAGTGTTTCAGCGAATGCAATAAGGCGGAGCAAATCACACATGACACTTGTATTTTGTTTTGGAAAAACAATGCAAAGAAAATGGGAGAATTTCAGATTTTTCTATGTATGAAAATAAGTCCAAGTCTCTAAAATTTATAGACAATGAAATGGTGAGATGAAGAGGTGCAATTCTAAAGGTACCTCTTCCATTTCCCATTCACGGAATCTAACAATCCCCCACATGAATAGAGAATGACAATATGTTTAAAAAAATATGCAAAAACTTGTGTGATTCGCAAGTAAGGATTAATCGCATCTGGATAAGTAGGTTTCCCTTTTGAACTTTCCGTAGTGAACATATGTCAGATATACTCGGTCAATCGGTAGATTCGATATCTTTGAACCATCGAGCTTTGGTGTACCTAGACAAATAAGTCATACAATCAACCCTTAACCGTCTTTAGTTCTTATTGTTGTGTTTGTTTCAGCCATGAACACCACCTGGTTCATAAGTGCATAGAGAACTGGCCTTACAAAATTCTTTTTGAAGCAGTTTACACTTCATACTTACATAGGTGATTCCTAAACGTGTTATCCCGTAGATACCCTATTTGATATATCCCGTATCAAACTTAGAAACCGTTAAAAAGCCTTACCGCTTTATCTTTTGTATTGAACATTGTCTCATCACGAGAATGGACCAAAAAGAAATTTTATTTGACAATGTTGAACCGTCATTAATGACTTTATTTGAGCTCCTTGAAATTAGATCTTGGGATCTCCAGTCTTCTAGGTAGAGTTACTGCCACAATGACTTGTCCTAGGCTATAGTCTCATTCCCTCCAATGATCTCTCAACTACCTCTCTAGTTATGCCTTTTGTAAGGGGATCCGACACATTATCGCTTGACTTCACGTAGTCAATTATGATAATTTCCCAAGAGAATAGTTGCCTAATGGTTTTATGTCTTCGTCGTATATGACAAGATTTTCTGTTATAATAATGCTCCCAGCCCTT